CTGGATCGAAGCTGAATGTTGATTCAAGATGAATAAACCCGTCCCACTATTAGGGGCGGTGTTCCCTCCAAAAGTAATGAATCCCCAGTGTTGATTACAAACCCGTCCCACTTTTAGGGGGGTGGGGTGAGACCCACTGCCGTATCCCCGAAGAGAGCTGGTACCTTGTGGTAGTAGAGAATGTATGAGCTGGTCCCCGGATCTATTCTGCAAGAAAGTCCAGTGCGCCAATAGTGGAGGAACTGAGAATAGAAGTCCCTGGATACCTGCAAGGCGCTCTGCTAAGTCGTGTTTGTAATGGCTGCAGGATGCAACGGTACTACAAGATAGGGCCTTGAGCCAAAATAGCATGCGTGAGCGTGGGGCGCAGGGTCAATTGAAAAGCACAAGCAACACAAAAACAGACACAATTTCTTGACCCTGAACACCAAAATGGCATTCTTCACTTCATGGCCTTTAGCCGTAGCCATACTTATGGTGTGCTTGCCGTAGCCATATCGAAACTTAAATCATCCTATTTCTGTCGCGGATGAAATGTCTTGTTGGCAGAATGGGAAATGCCTTGTACTGATTGGACGAGATACCTAACTGTACGGAAATGTGAGAAAAGCTTTATACACGCAGGATTGTGTGAAACTATTGATCACTCACAAGCATAGTCTCGATGTGCAGCAGGATCAATCGATTGGAATTCGTGGTGTCGTTTTCCGTGCGATGGCTTTTTGCATGGGTTGTTGTCATAGTATCTCATCGCTTCTGCAAGTACCAACGGTAGCTGCTATCGGATTGGCTTGCATATCCTCCACCATAGTCCTCCCATCCCTGGTAGCCAAAGCTCTTCCATCCTTGCTGATAGGATTGGTTCCATGGCTTCCATGCTGTCTCATTCTCCTGCTTCTTGTTCTGATTGTGGTCCTTTTTTGCGGTGGTAATTCCTCTCTTGATCAGCTGCAAGGCTGCGAATATAGACCAGCAATGGGGTATGAGAGTCGGAGTCGCATGATCCAAGCATTAGCATCTCATTCTTGATGCGCTTGTAGCGCTCGGCGGAAGTGACCTTGCAATCGGAGATGACCTTGTCAACATCTTCGATCATAGAATCCATCGTACTCTGATCGAGCTTGGATATCTCGAATTGACTTCTTGTTGGATGTCAGTCTTTCCCCAACTGAACACAAAGGTCATCATGCAATCCGGAAACGTTCTGTCAAATCCTGAATCTTTCATGTAAAGATGGTGACGAGCAATGGATTTAATTGCGCAAGAGGTAGACATGGTGAAATCCATTCGCTCCGCCAACGGCATGTCTTGTGTTCCATTCCAAAGGTTCTTGAACTTACCCATAATGTAGTTCATGAGGCGTGCTCAGGATTGTAAACGAATTGTAGTTTACTGAACGTCTTTGCGGACTTGTTGGCGTCGCCTGTTATCGCATCGCAGTGGTACTCAGTGACGAGCGGCATGATGCCTTTCTGCTGCACCATGGCTGATGGCCGGATCAATATGGAAAACTCCAATGATAGCAAATGGAAGGTCAGCTCTTGACATGGCGGGCGTCGTAGGAGAGAACAGGGTTCTGAGTGGGTTTTGGAAATGTTCCACGAGTCTCATTGTTCTGCTCAATGTGGATGACGACAATCTCGCTGTGCCATTGTACGGCGGTGCGTGGCGGCAATCTCTGTCCAAAAAACTCCTCCTGGTTTGTTCCGGTGGATGCCAAACAGTCGGGTGTTGGAGTATCATAGTCCGGATCATTGCAAACGTCTTCGAGCCCGAAGAAACATCTGAACATTCCAAACGTAGTACTCCGGGATTGGCTCTTTGTTGAAATGTAACGTGCCAACAGTTCGACTTGGCATGTTTTCCACCTCGGACAAAGCATGCGATGGACTTGGAGGACCATAGCCTGATGACGATGCCTTTGTATCCGCATTTTGTGAACAGCTTGATGAGATCAGAGGTCTTATCTTGTTCTGGGTAGAGGAACGCGTCTGCGATGCAAAGGATATGCGCACTGTTCTGCAGTGCTTGATTGGCCATGACTTGAATTCTCGCTATCCAGCTTCGTAAGGTTCCCGTAATTCACTGTCAGACTGTTGAGTGAAATGCTGGATGGATAATCCTTTCTCTTGAGGTTGTCCACAACGTTGCCATCAGTTCCTTGCATCAGGGGTCCCAGAATGTTCGGGATCGCTGTAGTTCCCAAGCTTCTTGAGTCCGATCGGAAGTCGCAGTGGATACCCCGAAGGGTGCTGCGCTGCTCTGAACTCTTCCATGGTCGGATGCTCACCTGCGTGCTTGGACCGGGAATTGTCCAAGACCGATGCTGCAAAGGAGCTCGCCGAGATTCAGCAGTCATTCACGGAGTTCATGGAGAGGTACCGCACGGATCGAAAGAGGACACACCCTGACCTGACCGATTGCGAGTTGAGATCCTGGGCGCACGTGAACCCAGATGAGAACCTCGATGAAGATGAGTTCTACTTCTCACGATTGAATTCAGCCACATTGGCCGGATGGGGAGGTTCCACGATGACCTTGACGGATCGATCTTCTCTTGCGCTCATGCTTTCCTCATCATGGTCTGTCGAACGCCGTCTCTTCTTGGTCTCGCTGGGTTGCTCTTGTTCCGGTTGATATTTGTCGCGCTTGTCGCGGGAGATGCCCTTGTCAGTGTGCTTGAAGAAGTGCTCAGCAAACTCTTGGATCTTGGATTCACGTTGTTCTCGGTCCTCGTGGTCGAGATTCTTCTTCATGATCCAGTGGCTGTGCATAAGAGGCTGTCCATCGGTATCGCATGGATCGATGGTGTGTTCTGACAGGGCAGTTCTTTCTTCCGTGATTCGGATGTTGTACTGGTTGTCTTGTGTGAAGGCAAGGATCAACAATGCATCGCGTCCCTTGGGAACATGTGTCAGCGCTGCGTCTGATTCCTGATCATCGTAGATGATATCGTCGACGCATGCCATGTGAACGTGTTGTCTTCCCCGACGGGTGCTAGTTCGTCCTGGCTTGACTCCTTGCTGCAGGATCTTCTCGATCTGAGTTCCATAGGTGGAATGGAACATGAATGTGACGGCCTTCTTCCTGAACGGAGAGATCTTCCTGTCCTGCTCGATGGATCGGCGCTGCCGTGCTCTCATCTTCATGGTCCTGATCACGAGGCTTGGATGCATTGGGCAAGTCGTATGACGGCTCTTCCCAGGTGTTCTTTACAGGGGTGACGCATCTCACATACAGCTCCATGTTGTCGTTGTTGTAGAATGATTTGCCATTAGGTCTGAGTGCACGGAATGCTGCCTTGGATGTGAGGCTGTCAATCCATCGGTCTCTGGGGACAATGGCGTTCCTTGCTTCCCGTTCTTGGTACGATCCATCAAACTTCTGATATACGAACGCTATCTCGAATCTGGGTTTTCCAAAGGATGGAAGCATGGTCATGAGGAATATGCCTGGTATGGTGCCAAGGAAGTCTCGCGCATGAGTGATCGCACACAATGCCTCACATCCAGGTTGAAATTGATAGCCCTCTTCAGTTCTCGTCCTTCTCCTGGATGGTGTCAAAGGCATTCGGAAAACAATCTGCTCATTCTCTCCAGTCTCCAAAGGATGAAGTGGACAATTGGCTTCGCATAGGACTGATCCATTGAGTAACACACGCAAATGGATTCGGCATTGGTGATGGTCTTGTCCATGTTGATCTGCCCGTTGTGGGTTACCATTGGTATGACATCAGTGCAGAAACTCGTGGGATCGTCGTTGATCAGGCACACATACTGTAAATCTTCTTGATATAGGCCATGTACGCATTCTCTCCCTGTGTGTTCTTTTCACGAATGGTAGGTTCCCAGATGTTCTGGAACATAGCTGAATTCTGGATGGCTCTGTTGGATGGTGCGGCACTCACAGTAGTACTGCTTCCCAATACTCAGAACCATGTGGTTCCAGAATGGCCCATCTGCTCTGGCTTGTTGGGGCCCACCCACTTGGATTGTTCAAGGGATGCTGGAGGCGCCTTCCTCGTTGGCCGTCTTGGAAGCGGTGGCCGTTCTTCATGATGATCATTCACATTACCGGACTCCGTGTCCTCGTCCAAGGTCATGGATGGCTGTGCCTTGATCTTTGGGTAAGGCTGAGTGGTGGAACCGGAGGCCGCATAGGCATCGCCTTCTGCCTTGGCCGTTCCTCGAGAGGCGGCTCCGGGGGCTTCTTGTCTTCATCGCTGTCGGAATCTCGATCATAATCTGCCCGCTCCATTGGAATGTCTTCTTCCGGGCGGTCGGATTTAGGCTTCTTGTTGTCCTTGGTCTTGCCCATGATGTAGTCGGATGCGGGTGATTCGTCATCTTCATCGTTCTGGATGGGTGTCCTTGAATGGAGAAGCTCGTCTCTTTCCGGCCAGCTTCGGAGTGGATGGCTTTGACTTGCCGATTCCGAAAAGGCTTGCAAGGCGCGGCATGTCGCTGTCAATTGGAAAAAGCGGGTAAAAAAAAACAAAACTGGCTGCGGACGCAGACACATATTTCTTGAGGTTCAAGAAAGGTCACATGCAAAATACTCACCACGGCATTGAGGAATTGAAAATCACTAAAATGAAAAAATTCATGCGTTGATTCATGGACATGTGGATCATGCCCAAGTTCCCCAATAAGCAAACATGGATTCTGCTATCCCAACTCCTGCGAATGCAGTTGGATCGGGTCCGTGCTTCGTATTGCGCGCTAGCCATTCAACCAAAAATGCCTTGTTCTGCAACATGGTGCGGAAGGGTGGATGAGCGTCCACACTCATGAGGTTGCCTGTCAATACTGCCTTGATAAGCTCATCTGCCTTCGCTGAGTGCTTGGTCAGCGAATCTGCTAGACAATCCTCGCTTCGCACATGTGCGAGATCCTGCGTCTGTCCGCCTTTGCTGCCCTTTCGCAACATCATTGTTTCCTTCTGCTCTGGTCGCTGTGTTGTGGATGCTGTTGTAACAAGATTGTTGGCATCTGTGCGGA